CAAGGCTTCTAACATATTGTTACAATAACAGTTAAAAAATAAAATAAATACATAGTCACAAGTTTTTTTTACAAGCATTCAAAGTTTTAATTTTGATAAAATACGTAAAAATCACGAAAATTCGCAAACTATTTTAAGMTAGAAATTCGTAAAAAATTTTCTTATTTTAATAATGTATAATTTATATCCTAGACAGATAAACCGTCTCCGCTCAGAATCGTTTTTCGTATACAATGATTTAATATCATTGGATTCAAATTTAATTCCATCCATTACAGTAACCCATTTATTGTAACCTATTGTACAGCAAAGTGACATCCATGACTTATTACCAGCTTTTTTTTGTATATGTAGGTAATAGGTATAGGTACTCTGATTTATATCATTCAAGTTACTTAAAATTATAGCCAACAATTAAAAATCGAAACAATCTCGCCTGGTAGACTACCAGTGGTAGTATGGTTCACAAAAACTTAATTTTTACGAGTATTTATTATTTTTATTAACTCGGTTCTCAATAATTAACAGCAAACCATGGGAGATTTTTCATCATGTAATTATATTATACATTATGTATTACCCCGACAATCGTTTACTGTGTATTTATTTCGATGATTGGGTTAATGGAATAATTTCGTTTGTTATATTATGATAGAGATGTGGTTCTGCGTGTATTACATGACTCAACCCGTAATTGATTTGTTTGAACACAGGAATTATTAAATATTCGTGTTCGCGTATTACAAAGATACATTAATTTAATTTTAGAGTGATCAAGCCTACATTGCACATTTTATAAATTTTAATACTGATGCAATATAATGTGTAAATATTGTGCCACCTACGTGTACATAATTAAACACTGCAGCGCGTGTATATTTATATAATAATTAGTGTTCGGAAGTTGTAGGATTTGCATGCTTTTTAAATGCTTATTGAAACTATATAATATATTTCATATAAATGCATTGCATTATAAAGTGATGAATAAAAAAATTAAATTATCATGATTTTACATAATTTAGAATTTTTTTTTGCACATGCTATATAATGTTTTCAAAGGTATATTATATACTATGTTATTATCATGCAGATATATATCATTTTTAGTCTAGGTTGTTATTTGATTACTTTATATAATATTATGCAATTTTTTTAATTTTCAAAAAAACTTATTTAGATTAATTAAAAAAA